GTAAATGGTCCCTTAATTTCTTGGGGGGGGTTCTTTTAATTAGCCAAAAAAAGGTTTACTTATTAATTAATTTCCACAACTCATGATAGATGCCATGAGAAGATATCAAGATGGAGGAATCTTATATATATATATATATGCCTGACACAGCTCAGCTTGGTCGGTGGCCTAGCTCTCCCCTCTCCACGCCATCTGTTGGACTGAAACATGACACCCAATTAGCTTACTCTATTAATTATATTTTCTTCTGGGCATTTATTTAGAATAAATTTGATGCTTGCAGAGGCCAACGTTACTTGAGAAAAGGTAAAACAAATGGATTTCTCTGTGGTTTATTGTTTTAAAATAAGAAGAAGGATTTAAGTTTCCCCACTCTTAAATATGGGCGCCGTAGGCCGTGTTTGATTATATAGTTTCGGCCGGTTACCAACTTCGGCCTAAGGTAGACTGGAAAAAGGGATGAGCAAAAATGGGTTTCAGAGTTGGTGATACACATGCATTAGTGATTAATAATAAATTATAAACCAAATTGATGTTTAATTATAATTATTATTTATTTCATTAATAATATTCCTATTTATTTAATCAAACTATTGCTTATTCAAATCTTGACCTAGTTACGGTTTTGCAAGGAAAAGGATTATATAATACTGACTAATGATGAGGGCTACTAGATTCTTCCTTCAGCTGGTATACCCAATATATATAACAATGGAAAAGAGTATTTCAATTAACAGCTTAATTAGAAATTGATGTCTATTAGCCTCACTTTCATTCACATGAAGAAACGATGACCAATCCACAGCTTTGGTTAGATATAGAGGGAAGGAGGAATAATAAACCTTTGGAAAATTGGATAACCCAATCTCCTTCAGCCATAAATATTCTTCTTATTTATATATTTTAATTAGTTAAATGAAATATTGTTTTGTTGTGCCATGTGACGGATGCAGCTGGGCTGAAAGCTTGCTTGAGTCATGAATGATGTGGGCAACAGTTGAAGCTAGCCCTTTCATGGTGTTCCTATGAAGGAAGATTAATGGGTGGGTCACCATTAATGCTCTTCGATCGAAAGATATTGCCTCTGTAACTAACGATTTATTATAAATATTCTGGGATATTGATCGATATATATTGTTTATTAATTCTCATATTTTTCTGCTCTCCTGCTCTCTCTCTCTCTCTGTTGATCAGTTATCGATGATCACACTCGAAAGAGATAAGGTGATGGGAAGAAATAATTAAATTATGGCGACATCATCCTGATCATTAGTGCTTACAACAACATCAGTTGGTTTGGCCCCAGACCACTACTTGTTCCACAGAAAGGAAAATTTACTTGTGATGATCGACGCATGGGTCTTCATCTTCTAGAATGCATATATGGTGACAGAGCCATTAGTGTCCCTTGAACCAAATAGCACTTTTCTGCATTCAAAATCGATGTGTTGAAGTAAAAAAAAAAAAAAAAACTCTGCAACTTCTTCCAACCAACCAGAAGAAAAATATATAAAATAAAGAAAGCCACTATACAAATTCAGGGAAGTGGGGGTTTGGAGTTTGGACTATTGAAGCAATCACTTAATTTTCTTTCTCATTGTTTTTCATGTGGCGATAGAAAGAGAGAGAGAGAGATCATAGAACCTGTGGCTGCGCCTAATAGGACGAGAAAAGTGATCTCAATTTCCATTGCCCAATACGAGGCAAAAAGAACTTGTGATATTGTCCGTCTGGAGACCTTCTGGATGGGCCAGCTCAGTTCTGCAGCTCATCTGAGCTCCACACACACACACACTATATTCTGAATTTGTGATTGGTCTATTTCTTGTCATTGATACAGGAGAGCCCTTTAGCCACGTCCATGGCTAGGCCAGCGTTCCTAGCGATGTAGATTATTTCATTTGTGCCCTAATTACCTGTTTGGGAGGGCTTTTGCTGACTTTTCAAAAATGTAACTATAACATGAAGCTACTCTGATCAATAGCTTATCCGAATTGAAACAAGGATACTCAACCAAAGCGGCCAAGTTAACACAATTTAAACGAAATACAGAAGTCGGTCCCTAATGGGGCCTAATTAAGTACCTAACTTTACTTCGTGGAAGGTTCACCAGTCAGATTCTWTTGATCCATCGCTATTTTATCATGGGAGAAATTAATGCTTCATCCAATGAAAAGCTATGTTGAATATTAACAGTCAGAGACTTTAAAATTTAAATGGGTGATATGAGCTTGGATGGGTGGGTGGGTGGTTCATGGGTCGCTGTTCCTTAATTTGTAGAAAAGGGGAGATGACATTATCTTTTTGCTGAACCACATGGGTGAGGACTATTGGTCTAGAAGTTGCATGATGTGGCAGACACATGGGCCCACCATTGAACAATTGATTTTGTTTGTTGGCCATGTTCCATACAAAATAGATGCGGTAATATTAATAACAAATGGCTACTGAACGGTTGAGCCACTCTCACCATTAATGAAAATTTTGGTTATCTAGTGCCGTCTGTATTAATTGTGTATGTGATGATGTGTGAAAAGCTTAAACTACAGCAGTCTGCTAGGTCAAAAGCTCGTGGGGTTTGGACCTGGTGGTGCAAGATGCTGACCCGTCCATTAAACTTTAAAGAAAAAAAGAGGCCACGCTACGCCCATGCCATGACATTGAGTCGCAGAAGTGGTGCTGGCCTCATGCATCCATCTTAATTAAGGTGACCTAGATTTCAATTATCAATTATTGCAATCGAGAAATACACAGACCGATCGATCAGACCATATATATCCAAGTCCAACCACATTCATTTGGGTAATACCCCATACAAACAAACATAATCAAAATTGGGTCTGAGATGAAATCATGGCCCCTGGGCTATTTGAGAAGGTGCCCAGCGCACTTTCGAGTGTTGGTGTCTGGCCAAAGATGGAATTAATTACCCTCTTGTTTTCACTTTTGAGAAAGAAAGCCCACTTAATGGTTACTGGTATGGTTTCTTGCTGAAAAGATTATTTCAAACTTGAAAAGGGCTTTAAGTATAAGCCCATCCTTCATCATCAAAAAAGAAGAGTGGCTAAATTGCTGAATGACACACACTGTAATGTTTTAATTTGAATATTTCCAGCATTCCTCTCTCAATTCCTATTTCAACAGTTATCAAATGCCACCTTACATTACATGTGTTGTTTAGTTTATAATCCCTTCTGCTATAAAAATTTAACACAAATACATACAAATATATATGTATATATATATATATATATATATATATTGCAACTTACTTTACAAGTGGAAATGCAATTGGACGGACGTAGTAGATATACCTTACATCTACTACTGTTGCAGCAAATAATAATAATAGCACTACGTATCATTATTGGTGCCTAGAATTAGAAAAAAGAATTGCTATTAGAAGACATTAAAGAATATATTAGTAAAGCACTAATAAAACAGTTTATTTAAGGGGAGAGTTACGTTGCTTCAGTAATAGAGACACTATTATTTCCTATAAAATATTGAAATGTAAACTGTAGGCTAAAAAGCAAACAAGCCTTTGCTGACCTAACCCCCTAACCCCTGCTTTCTCACGCTACGTACGCTTGTCATATTCTTTGCTGTTTAAGAGGCATCATGTTCATAAAATAAATATGGTTGAGAGTTGAGAAATATGAATAGGAGGGAGACCAGAAAGGCAAGCAAACAATGAAATGAAAACTACAGCATGTGACACATGGAAGATCCAATTCCAATCTCTATAGCCATTAGCCACGATTGCAACTTGGGTTGGAAGTTGGAACAATAACTTCGTGGAAGCCTTCCCTGCCTAGCCCGGCCCCCAAGTTTGAGGTCAGGAATCAGGATGACTGGATGAGTTGCTTATTATGAGGATTATTGGACTTTTGACGTATAAAAGTCAATCCGACCTAAGTTTGGGTTGGGCTTGGAATATCAAAGTATCCAACCTTTCACTCGTTTTGTCAAAAACCATTGCTTTCCTCCTCTTTAATTTACTTGAAACAGCAGGAGTCATAGACTCCGTGCACTCATATACACATTGCCATGATGCTATTATATTCTTCTCAGAGTGCGTCTCCCAGCCAGCCAGGTTGTTTAGTGATCTTCCATAAACAATCTATCAATCTGCCACGTATTCAATATGGAGAAGTTTTATACTCAAAATTAAAAAGCTTGGACGAGGCAAAACTGGAATACAAAATTGGCTCTGGCGCCTTGAAATTTTACTCATGTGGACAGGTAAGGTTCTTATTGTACATTCTATTTAAAGCAAGGTTTGCCACGTCAGAGGCTCTCCTTGCTTGATAAAAAGCTACAAGTTGACAGATTGGGAGAGATCGAGGGGGGAGCTCGTCTTTTACGAAACAATGTACTGCTTGACTTATAAGGGATGTGTATAAACCAAAGCTTGGAGAACTCGAATCACCCCCACCAACCCCAACAAGGAAACACAAAAGTAAGTAAGGTGGCATTTGATAAATCAAAAATCTGAAATCTAAAAAGTTAAAAAGATATTAAAATTGTCTAAAATTTGAAAAGAGCTATGATGTTTTTCTACTTTTTAGATGTTCTGAATAGATAAGGTTGTTTGTGTTGGATCAACCATTCAACATCTAAAGTTTGATGATTTTATTATTTTACCCCCAAAACAGACTATCTGATAATTTTGAGTTCAATTTGTACTATTTCATATTAAATAATTTATGAAATTCAAAATAATACGAATAATAAATAATAAATAATACATTTAAAATTATTAAAAATAATTGATGACTAATAAAAATATTAAGGTAATTAATACTTAATAAAAATTAAAATAATTAATAATTAAAAAATGACACAATTAAAATTAAAAAATAATTATTATTAAGTAATAAAAATAATTAATAATTAGCAATTTACACAAATTAAACTTAAAATAATTACTAATTAAAAAATAACACAATTAAAGTTAATAAAGATAACAAATGAATAATAAAAAATAATTAACCGGTTTTGGGCATTGTTCATCATGGTTCTTGTTGCAAAGGCCAAATAGGGGTGGCGGTATTCCTATTCCCCCCCCCCTCTCTCTCTCTCTCTCTCTCTCCTTCTTCCAAACGCCTAGATCTGTTGTTCGTCTTCTTCCTCTTATCACCGAACAGAGAGTGACGGGGAACTGTGGCGGTAGCTCCAGTCAGTTTACTTCTATCAGTCGATCCCAGCAACACCAGTTTGCTCTTCCCAAAATCGCACCTGCAAGGGAGGGCATTCAAAGCTGAGGTGGATCGGTTTTGGGCACTATTGATCATCATTCTCATTGCGAAGGCCGAACAGGGGTGGTGGCAGTATTCCCCCCTCCTC